CGACGACTTTGGAAAATTCGAGGTCAAGCTTGTTAATTGTTATGGTCGTTTAGAGAGAGATTTTTACGTGAAACTTGCTCTATCGTCTTCTATTGGGCTACTCTCTCTCTCTCTCTCTCTCTCTCTCTTAAACCGATCAATTGAATTGACCGGTCAACGGGTGATGAATTTGAGTCGTTGGATCGTATCGGACGGCCAAAAATAATTGGTATCCAAGAAAAATCGCTTTTGTAGGCCATCCCACGTTAAATTATTAAGGACTCCCCCACCAGTACGTCGATCACTTTTTTGCTTCGGACGTCACTTTTTCATTTCCTTATTACACGTACAAAGTAATGTTTCTTTAATTAAGACTGAAAATAAAGGATAGAGTAGTTATGAAATTCAAATCTAACCGATAAAACACATGTGATATTTACGTATTTGGGAAGATCTAAGGATATGATGTTTCTATATGGAGGAAACGTTGAACGGAATTGATTGTGAAAGGCTATATTGATTTCGACCACATAGAATCTACAAAGTGTAGATTCACATAAAGATGTGTCTTCATTTTGAATGAAAGAGCTGTGAGTTGGATAAACGACATGGAGAAGTGCATATGCTCTCCACCTGAGTAACATAATATGATTTTGCTTCAAATGCTAATTGATAGGCTGTTTTGAATAAAGAAGTTTATCATTAAGCTTGTATATGTTTCTATCATTAGATCAATAATGTCGTTATTAGGTGATTACAATGGGGTATTAGCTCAAGCCAAGGAACTAGGGTTTCATGAGTCATTCAAACAAAAATTGAAAAGCATTGTCACAAGATTAGAGAATCTGTGAAGAAGAAAAAGAAGATTCAAGTTTAAAGAGTTAACGCTGCAGAAGAACGTAACGAACCCAACTACTAACGAGATTACACAAAAGTAGCTTAATCAGCACTTGAATAGTTTTGGAGTGCGTCATTGTGACTATTGGCTTTCGTGCAACTAGGAGATTGTTAGAGTTTTGCCCTAAAACCTCTTTTGTTTTGGCGACTCATTGGGTAGTTTAGTTGCTTATGAGATATTTTAAAAGACTTTTCTGCCAAAATAGGTAACGAATAATGAATGGTAAGGCAAGATTAATTCATTTATGAGTTTGGCTTTATATTATAGAGATAATATACTAATAAAAGAGTCCATGAGATTTAAGGTATGGAAGCAATGTTGTAAACAAGGTTAGAGCAGTAAGACTTGTATTTCATAGTCACTTAGTCTTTAAACAAAATTTCTAGCCGTTTAGAAAGGACTATTTGGAAAGGCTGTTGTATATTGCATTAAGGTTAACATGGTATTGTGCTATGTGTGATAGACGCATGGTGGATATACAGGTGCTTGTCTGTTGAACAAGTTCATTGAACATTGATTGCGTTAAACATATGGATGCTTACCATATGTCAAAAGTTATAAAGCTTTAGATTGTAGTTTGTAAGTTCTTTGAACTAAGGCATCATCGATTAAGTGGAGGTCTTAGGTTCACTCATCGCCAAATACGAATTTGAACCACATTATTTCTAGCCAATTGTGAGAATTTGCCCACTCTCCCACCTTAATAGTGTAGATTTATTAAAAAAAAGTAATACAATTGTACATAGATAATATTTTATAGATCTTATTGGATATTCTACACTAATCTTACCCTAATGGGAGTATGAGGATGTGAACCCGAAAAATAATGAGTTGAGGAGGAAGACCTAGCTGGATTGAGAAAGAAGACCTAGCTACCAGGACGGTGACGTCGCCTCTCTTGTGTTGTCTGAATTCAAATTAGTAACGAAGGAGAGATTGTATACCTGAGCAGTTTTGGTGATGTGGTGGTGCTATGATCGTAATTTGGTTTTGGTTTTCTCGTGATGGGGCCGCTAGGGTAATTTTGTTTGATGATAATTGTTTTTAAATTATAATAACCTTTTTAAAAGCAAGGAAAATTAAGGAAAAAAAAATTTAGGTTTACTTTGGGAATACTGGCGGTGGGGGAAGAGTTTATAATTTTTATTTTTGACTTTTTTTGTAGGGGGTGGAAATATTAGGTGGATGTGAAAATAAGACAATAGAATGCGCATAATTCCACTCATAAGAAATTCCATTCCAACTATAATTTACCCATTTAATTTTTTGCCCATAATGACTGGGAATTGTTATTGGTACTTTAACATTCTCATTTTGCACTCCAAACATTATATATTTAGAAATAAAAATACATTTGTGAGGAGTGCGAAATGAAATTTTTTGAGTGCTAATAACAGTTCTCATTATGACTTGAGTAAACTTGATATAAATTCAATTTTGTAAGTCTTTAATCTATATTGAGTTTAGTCCACTTTGTCGGATTATGTATGTTCATTGATTATCCACATCATCTTACTTTTATTATCTGTTTATTAAATTATGATAAATATTATCTCTTATTTATAGGATTAATTTACTTAATTAAGGGTTAAATATAAGAATTATATATTTTTTTTCCTACCCCAATTCGAATCTCAATTTGTTCTTCTACCTCCATCACATGTTAATTGTGCTAATTGATTTACGTTGTTGGTTCTATATTAGTATGAGTTAATAAATATATGATGATTAAATTCCTCCAATCAAATTTTCATGGATGATAGGTAACTTAAGTTTTGTTTATTTTTGTAATTCTACTTTCATGTTAAATGTATTTAATCAATTTATGATGTAGGTATAATATATGATGTCATATAAATTTATTTTTAACAATTTTTTAGAAAAGTGGTTAGATCTTTATGTCACGTCTCGGCTCGGACCCCCACCATATCCCGGGCTCGACTCTACCGTAGCACGATATTATCCGCTTTGGGCCCCGACCACTCCCTCACTGTTTTGTTTATGGGAACTCACATGAGAACTTCCTAGTGGGTCACTCATCATGGGATTGCTCTCGCGCGAACTCGCTTAACTTCAGAGTTTCGATGGAACCTGAAGCCAGTGAGCTCCCAAAATGCCTCGTGCTAATTAGAGGTGGTCATGTACATATAAGACTTACAGGATCCTCACCCCTGGGCCCAAAAGGCCTCGTACTAATTAGAGGTCGGCATGTACATATAAGACTTACATGATACTCACCCCTGGGGCCAAAAGGCCTCGTGCTAATTAGAGGTGGGCATGTACATATAAGACTTACGGGATCCTCACCCCTAGGCGATGTGTAATCTTACAATCCACCCCTTAGGGGCTCGACGTTCTCGTCGGCACGCTTCGGGCTAGAGATTGGCTATGATACCAAATTGTCACATCTCGCCCTGGGCTCCGACCACATCCCGGGCTCGACTCCACTATAGCACAATATTGTCCGCTTTGGGCCCTGACCACGCCCTCACGGTTTTTTTTCTTTAACTCACTCGAGCAGAACTTCCCAGTAGGTCACCCATCTTGGGAATGCTCTGGCCCATTCTCGCTTAACTTCGGAGTTCCTACGGAACCCGAAGTTAGTGAGTTCCCAAAAGGTCTCGTGCTAGGTAGAGATGAGAATATACATATAAGGCTTACATGATCCACTTTCCTGGGCAATGTGAGATGTAACAATTCACCCCCCTTAGAGGCTCGACGTCCTAGTCGGCACACTTCCGACCAGGAATTGGCTCTGATACCAAATTGTCACATCCCGGCCCGGGCCCCCACCACATTCTGGGCTTAACTCCACCGTAGCACGATATTGTCCACTTTGGGCCCCGACCACGCCTTCATGGTTTTATTTCTGGGAACTCACACGAGAACTTCACAGTGAGTCACCCATCTTGGGATTGCTCTCGTGCGAACTCGTTTAACTTCAGAGTTCCAATGGAATCCGAAGCCAGTGAGCTCTCAAAATGTCTCGTGCTAATTGGAGGTGGACATGTACATATAAGGCTTATAGGATTATCACCCCTGGACGATGTGGGATCTTACATTTATATTTAAATATTTAAATTAAAAATATGAATAAAAATGTCTAAATCAAGAAATTTATTTAAAGTAGAAAAATATCACACCTGGCTATATCTAATAACAACTCAAAATTTTTCGACCCAAATCAAAGTTACCCCAAACCTTATGCCAACCAGCAAGCAGACCTAAACATTTGTAGAAACCTTCTAGATGCTCATGCATCACCACCATTAGCTGAAGATCGAATTCCTCAGCTTCTTCTCGAATGCCCATTAAGAAAGTCCTGTTTTATATCAATGAAATCAATAGTACCGTCTTCAAACTCTAGAAATTCAATAAGTATATCTCATTCCGACCCTGAGACTGATCTAATATTAGCACATTAACGAAAATAAAATATCATGCAAGGACAAAGTAAAACGAGAATCGAGTTCTATTGGCAAAGTAACAGTTTTTGAATTTCAGCAATAAAATGGGAAAACAATTGAGTTTCAAGGGATAGAAAAAAATAAGTTAAAGATATAAGTAATGTTAGGTAGATTATATTTGTAAATTAAATAATGTGACACCAATAAAAAATAAACACGTTAACACTTAAAATAATAATATGTTAGTAGATTTTCATGTCATTTAATTAAAAAAATTTATTTACAAAATTAGTCCGATTATTAAAAAATATTCAGGCCCTTTATGCAAAGGGGTCCCTGTTTTTCTTTTGTTCAAAAAATAGGGATTAGGTGTGGAGCTCACTCCACATTGAACTTCAACGATCCAAACCGTCTATTTTGTAAGTCTCGATTCATAGATCATCCTTACAAAAATTCAATTCAATCCGAAACCATTTCCTATTTAATTATCAAGATAAAATTTCATTATTTCTTATATAACAAAATACTCGTTAATTTCTTTGAACCTAATTATCTTAAACATTTCCGATTTAGCTAATATTTTACAAGGATAATTTATAAAGTACAATTTGAAAAATAAACGATTCGGATCGTTAAAGTTCGATGTAGTGCCCAAATCATTTTTATAAAAAAATGGAATTCCTTCCCTTAAAGATTTTCCAAAAAATATTATCTTCCCTTGGAAAAATCCCAACTCAGACAAACTCTACACTCGTCCCTTCAATTCAATTTCCATTTCCATCAGTCCCTCACAAAGTGAAAAATGGAGGTGACGTCGGTACAGGGCGTCGCCGGCGGTGTCCAGCACGTCCTCTGCGGCCCCTCCTCGCCCATTTCTTCTCTATCCATTCTCTCTCCGACTCCATGGAGGAGCGCAAGAGCCAAGAATTCTCATCTCTGTTGTGCCACAACTCTTGTGGGGGAGGCTCCCAACAATGGCAGTAACAGGGTCCCGAAGCGTCACTCCAAGCACTACTTAGCCAGACAGTCTGCAATTGTTCAAGTCCAAGACTCCTCCGACTTGGGCTCCGCTCTCACAAGGTCCTTCTCTGCAATTTTCTTTTCGATAAGTTCATTTTTTGCCCCATTTCTGCACATTTATTTTCTTGAGTTCTTTTGTTTTTCCAAGTGAATGATGACTGAATTAGTATCCGGGTTTTTAGTCCGTAGCGAAATTTGACCGTTACATTGTTTTGTTTGAATTGCAAGTAATGGAGTGAATTGGGTGTTATGATATCCTGTATTTTGTTTCATCCTTGTCTTTTTTCTATATGTTTACAGTTTTTGTTTCATGAGCTAAGTTTTTTCAATTGAAACTCGAAATGGGTTTTGTAAAAAGGGGCTGCATTGTGCTGTTCCATTATCTGTTTTTGGTTCTCTTTGATGCTTGTGCTGTATGGAATGAAGTGTTTATCTTTTTGTTTTCTCGAAAATAATTTACTTTTTCATTTTTCATCTGACATCATTCAGATTATACTTAGCCAGTGTTATGGAGACCGTATACTATAAAGGTCGTACCCAGTGCACAAGGCTCCCGCTTTACGCAGGGTCTGGGAGAGGTGAATGTCGGCTAGCCTTACCCCCATTTATGGAGAGGCTGCTCCCAAGTCTCGAACCCGAGACCTACCGCTCATGGGCGAAGGCACTTGCCATCGCACCAAGTGCGACCTCTATGATATGTTAATTTTCCCCAAATGATATGTTAATTTTCATGTTCATGTTCATGTCATCCAATTTTTATTTTTCATCTTTACCGTTGCATTTTGTTTCTTAATAATGCTACTGGGATTATCTGCATTCTTTGATTTATTTTATTTTAGATTTGTTCGCAATACTGAAATATCTTTTTTTTTTGTGATTGTGTAACTTGATTCCTTCGATCATGAAGTAATCTTTTTGAACTGTGAATCACCTATTCTGGTTATGCAGAGTAACTGACATTAATTTCCCCCCTCAGATTAGGTGGGAGTTTGACGGTTCAAGACTTGAATGCCATTATACGCCATTTGGGGACGAAGAAAAGATGGCATGATCTTTCCCAGGTGCTATGACTTTGAAAATCTAAATGTTACTATTATAATTATTATATTTTGTTAGTGAATATTTTATATTTGGTGCAACCTGTTTTATTTATTTCTGTTTAACATTTAATATTTATTTAACACCAATATCAGATTGCAAAAGCCTTCCGGACTTCTTTTTGGTTTCATGATTTCTTGCAAGTAATGTATGCTGTTTTAGTGTACTTGTCTGTGTTGCTAAGCTTTTCGATCATGCAGTTTATATTCAGTTTTCATTCCTTATGTCTCCAATAGTGCTAAGAAGTAGTGTGCTAAGAAAAAGCATGTTGGTGGTTTTCCTCTCACTCCCTCTCTCCAGTCGTGTGTACATGCTCCTGTTAACAAAACATATATGTTGTTGTCCTTTTTGTCTTTGAATGTTGTACCCAAAATTATTGAGTTTCTCTTTCCAGTTTTTGATATTAGAATAAATTTGCAATTGTTACAGCTCTTTGAATGGATGCTACAGAATGAAAAAGTCAGTGCATCATCCTATAGCAGCTATATAAAGTTCATGGGAAAGAGCCTCAATCCTGTAAAAGCACTAGAAATATACAATAACATTCAAGATGAATCAACCAAAAAGAATGTTCACATATGCAATTCTGTTCTTGGTAGTCTGATCAGGAGTGGCAAGTTTGATGTCAGCTTTAAGTTATTTGACCAGATGAAGCAGAATGGTTTAACGCCAGATGCTGTCACATATAGTACGGTATGCATTTCAATGTATCATGCAATGTTGGTTTCCTTGGCATTTCAAACAAAAGTTTTTTCTTACAAAATGATAACATACAGAGGATATGCGCTGAATCTTTGATCAAGGAGTGAATTCAATGATAAGAATTGAAAATTAAAATACTGTTTTACTGGGAAATCATAATTGTCCTTGGCTGACGATGCTACGTAAAAATGAAAATTATTAAAACAAGAGAACTGTTTGTGGATAAGGAGTTCTCATCCAAAATTGCATTCCGTAAGAATAACATTAACACATAGTGATTGTGATTATGATTCATTTTAACTAATTTCCCAGTGGCTTGTTCTTTGTGGCCTCACTTACTTAAAGAGAAATGCTTATGTTGTGCTATTCCAGAGTCCTGCAGACTGCAGTGCATTACGCAAGGAATTTATTTTTGGTAGAGATGTCTGGAGAGATGTGTTGGGATGGAAATTTTCTGGGTTTAATGAATTGGAAGCAATACAGGGGTTCTTTGAGAATGTGCTTGGGAAGGAGATGGAGCATTTATGGGATAGGGTGTGTTTTTGGGGTTTTATTGTGGGCAGATGTAACTTCAAAGTTTAGAGAGCTATCCTTTATTGTATCAGATTTGACAACATTTATTAGGTAGTTTTCTGGAAATGATGTGGTTGTCTTGATGCAACTTCTTTAGGATGGAATTGTTGATGTAGATTCCTTATTTATTTGTTCCCTGAAGTGGATTTCTTGTTCGCTACTTTTGGACTGCCTTTTTTTTCTTTTACCGTTAATGAATAGGTCTGTTCCTGACAAAAAAAGTATCATTAAAACTCAAAATATAAACTAGCAGTTATCATAAATGAATGAAATATAAAAAATCTAACAACTTAATAACTTATACAATACATGTTAATTTTCGGAATAGCTCTTTGTTTCTTCAAGTGAAATTGTTATATGATTTACTAGTATATTGTGTAAGACGAAAGTATAAAAGCTTTCCCAGTGACATTTCCTAATTCCTACTTTATATGAAGTACACTTATTAATAAATTTTCTAAGAGAAACTTGAAAGATTGTGAGCTGTCATGATTAACATATGACTACATTAATTTCATAAACGAAATAAGAAACGTCTAATGCCAGCTAGCAACAATACATGTTAATTTTCTGAACATCCGTTTGTTTTTCTGATAAGTAAAACCTGTTCAATACTAAATTGCTTATTCATATGTTTGACCTGCATTACTATTAATCTACTATTATCTTAGCTGCTTGCAGGTTGCAGCAAACTCAAAAATGGTTATAATAAGGCATTAGAATTTGTTCAAGAATTGCAGCGTAATGAGCTGCAGATGGACAGTGTAATTTATGGTACACTTTTAGCTGTCTGTGCATCTAATAATAAATTGGAGGAAGCAGAAGGTTATTTTAAGAAGATGAAGGATGAGGGTCATTCACCAAATGTCTACCACTACAGCTCTTTGCTTAATGCGTACTCTATGAGAGGGAACTACAAGGAGGCTGATGTTTTGGTTCAAGATATGAAATCTGCAGGGTTAGTACCAAATAAGGTTTGTTCATGTTTAACTGCTATACATGATTACCTCATTCCAAAGTTCATTAGTTACTTCTATCACTGATATCTCTTGTTGTAAGAGTTCTACACTAAAGGATGTAAGAATAGATCATATAACACATACGCATGGTTTGAGATGGCTACATTTTGGTTGCACCAAATACAGAATAAGGTCCAATCTTGATCACTAAAAGTCTTACTCCGAAAAAGCAGTACCCTGATTGACAATGTTACAGGTCTTAATCTTTTTGGTTCTAGCTGGAAATGAGTGTGCATAGTAGATTATAGTAACTCATTCACTCTGTTACTTCGTATTGCAACTTCACGATTTTATGTAAAAATTCTTCCTATAAAAAAATTATACATGAAAATTTTGATTAATCACTCATCAGTCTACAATTTTGTCTTCACCTACGTACTCTTCATTTGGTCTTCATGCTTCTCAACATATTGGATATTTAGTATTAGCTTGCAGATCTGTAAATGCTTGGTTGGTAAAGATAAAATAAGAGTTGTACTTATTTTATGCAAAGGTGCAAGCTTAGAACTTCTTATTCTTTGCTTAATTTTTGTGTACTTCAAAGATTTTAGTGATAATATCTTCTCCTACTGCAAGTGCTCGCAGGTTATTTTGACAACTTTATTGAAGGTTTATGTCAGAGGGGGGCTGTTTGAAAAATCAAGAGAACTATTAGGTGAACTGGAAGCTTTGGGTTATGCTGAAGACGAGGTACACGAGTACTTTTCATCTAACTCATTAGTTTAAAAAGCCAAGATGTTGTCAGTTTGCCCTGCTATGGTTTTCTCTATGGAAAATAAGTGCTTTAGAGCCAAATAGAGTAGCTTATAGAATGTCAATATTATTTAATTTGCACCAGATAATCTAATAAATTAAGTAAGAAACTCTCAAAAACAAATTCAGGGCAACAATGTGGTTTGACAATGAAATACCATAAATCGTTGTAGATACCATTTGTAAGGCTTTAATACCATAGATACAATTTATAGGGGTTTGATTTTGTAGTTACCATTTGAAACCTTTGTTTGCTTGCTTACACAGATAGTATTAACTTTTATCTGATTGATTTTATTCCCTCGAGTCATTCCCTTAAAGTAGGTCATGAAACATATTGAGTAAAATGCTTTGTGGTTTTCTCTTGGAATGAGCTTTCTGTGTCTTATCCTAACATCTTGTGCTTGCTGAATTGGTAAAAATATCTAGTAATGATTATTTTGTTTACACTAATGTGTTGTTTTCGTGTCACATACTGGACCCCTACAATCTGACAATCCAGCTATCATTTGTTACTTCTAGTTCTAGGAACTTGATTTATTTTCTTTTTGGTCTTGTAACATTTGTGGCTATGACTTATTTGTAGATGCCGTACTGTTTATTGATGGATGCCCTTGCGAAGGCTGGGCGAATACATGAAGCTAAGTTGGTTTTTCAAGAAATGAAGGAGAAGTCCGTCCGATCAGGTAAGTTTTATCAGAGACAAATTCTCAAACTTTTCTGTACTCAAAATATGCATATTATTGTATCATACACATGCTGCACTAAAAGCCTCAGGGGAAGCTGAATTATGCATTGTCTTCCAATGTTCAAAAGCATACGTGTAGGTTCTCAACCAAGCTATTAATGCTACAGGTCTTTACAAATGATATGCACAAGATAGGAGCTCTTAAGTTACCCTAAGTAACTTAAAACTTGTGCATGAATCCCTTTTCCAAAAAAATAAGTGACAGTCTGGGAAAAGTATAGATGTTTTTGGAGTTTTGGTAGATACTTGCACTGAACACTGTATTTCTTGTAGGATTTTTCTTACTAACAGAAGTTTAAGTTTCTATCTTTACAACTGAAATTGTTTTGATTATCTATTCTTGCACCTTGCAGATGGCTATTCTTACAGTATCATGATTTCCGCTTTCTGCCGAGGTGGGCTTCTGGAAGATGCAAAGCAGCTGGCAAAGGATTTTGAAGGAACCCATGATAGATATGATTTAGTTATGTTGAATACAATGATCTGTGCCTATTGCAGAGCAGGCGATATGGATAGTGTAATGGAAATGATGAGAAAAATGGATGAACTAAAAATCACTCCTGATTATAATACCTTTCATATCCTCATAAAATACTTCTGCAAGGAGAAGTTATACCTTCTTGCTTATCAGACCATGGAGGACATGCACAACAAGGGCCACCAACCAGATGAGGTATTCTTCCGAGATGCATCTATACTTGTTGAACTAAGTGAGTTTAGTTTCCGCAACTGTAGAAGTTTGCAGACTATCTCTTGTCAATTTACTTGCCTTTAAAAAGTATGAGTCAATGGAAACATATTGTACATTTTGTCATTTATGCAATTATTGATAGATCGAAGAAAAAGAAGTGCTCTTGAAATAACTAAAAACAAGTAGGGAAGAACTTTCATTATGCATAGGCTTCAGGGTTTGGGGCTTTGTTATTGTTGCTATTTTGTGTGAACACTAAATATTTACCTAAAAGAGTTTGCCTAAAACACACCTGTAAATGTTTGCCTTAAAGAGTCAAGCTTGAATTAATAGGGTTCTTTCCTAATAGTAGACTTCTAGTCTATTATGTAACTTTTATGCTTATCATATTAGTTTGTAAGTTTGCACTGCTTAGAGTTCTTTAAACAAGAAGCTTGAGGATGGGTGTGTTAAATGGTCAATACCTTTTTAGCTTGTTTGTTGCTGCCAATATGATACTGTTGTTTTATTTTTGAAATTAGTCTTAAAAATTTGAAGTTCCAATAAATTAAATCCTTTTAGGTATATATAATAATTTACAAATATTGAAATTGTTAAGAAAATTTTTGTATCATTTTTCATCATTATTACCACCACGCATCACTGACTGTATTGTGCAATGCCACTACAATCATAAAGCAGCACTATTTTAGCCATTAAGCGAGCATATATGGTATATTGGCATATTGCTTACGTACTAATGGACTGTTGGATCCAAAACCAACAAATTACTACGTTATGGACATTGAAGATGATCTGGATTTTGATTCATTGGCTAGTGAGGGTTTATCGCGATTCTGATCCTTGTCCATAAGTGTTTTCTTTGTATTTACGCACATTCATGATGCATAAAATACATGCACAAATACATACAAGGGGATTCTGAAACATCGTTTTTGTTTTCTTCAAAAGTAAAACATCAGAATGCTTTGTGGTGCAAAGAATATGCAAGAGCCTTGAGTTTTGAAATAGTGGTGGTATCTTATATTTCAGGAACTGTGTTCCTCCTTAATGTTTCTTCTTGGTAAGATAAGAGCATATTCAGAAGCATACTCTGTTACAATATGCTGAGATATAGCAAGCGGACAATGTGCAAGGCCCTTCATGAGAAGATTCTGCACATTCTAGTAGCAGGACAGCTTCTCAGAGATGCTTATGTAGTAGTCAAGGTGAGCTATATAATTTGAAAGATACGTTTGTTCAATGCGTATCTTATGACTCTTGTAATTACTTTTTTCTTTTCTGGTCAGGACAATGCAGGGTTAATTTCTAAGCCTGCTATTAAAAAGTTTGCAACTGCCTTTATGAAGTTGGGAAACATCAACTTGATAAATGATGTTTTGAAGGCGGTTGATGCTTCTGGCTGTAAGATAGATCAGGTAAACTATCATGGGTGTTAATAAATTTCTTCAGAAATTTTATACTTTTATCCATAAGCAACTTGCTTCAGACTATTATGAGATACCAGGTGGTCATGGAAGTATGCGGGAGTCATCAAGCCCTGTCTCTTTCCTTTCGGGAAGGGAGTGATTTTATGGTGGATTTTATTCCATCTACTGTTTTGGATCTACCTATTTTTTATTTGTTAGTATATAATAAGTGAGGACAATATTCCTTAAAGAGAGAAATAGTGAACACCCAGTAGACGGGCGGGGTAACAATGGGTGCACCAAGTTGTGGGGAAAATGTACATAAGCAATGAAATCTGCAATGGATATAAAATCCTCAACGGAAGCTTTACACCTCTTCTGTTTCAGATTTTACCTTTTGAAGTCATTGCTTAGTTTCATTCCTTCATTGCACAGGGACTATTTCAGATGGCCATATCTCGCTATGTTTCACTCCCTGAGAAGAAGGACATGCTTTTTCAAATGCTACAGTGGATGCCAGGACAAGGTTATGTTGCTGATTCAGCTACAAGAAACGTGATACTGAAAAACTCTCACTTGTTTGGTCGCCAACAGATTGCGGAGATACTCTCAAAGCAGCATATGATTTCAAAAGCTTCAAAATCTCGCGAGAAGGAGAAAAGAGTTTGAAATCTGTGGAAATACCAGGTATATTCCATCCTAGCTCAACACTTTGTGAAGTGCAATATGCTGGTTGATGTCTGGTTGAGGTCGAAGCTTGCTTGCTAGTATAAGTAGTCTTCACATATGTGAGCCCCAGCTTCTTTGACTCGTTTTGGCTGACCCCTTGTACAGTGAGAATTGGATTAGGTTTATCATATAACCTTTCATGCATGTAATCGGATTCTGTAATTCAATCATAATTCTTTGGCTATATAAATTTACGCAATCTTTCTTAGCGGCAATTAGTAAGGCTTTGACTACTGAATAGAGTAAGAACCAACCAATTTTCCCTAGTAGTAAAGCTTTGACTATCTACCATGCCGTCAACCACTGGCCTTCCACCAGCATCTATACAGAAACGCTGAAGAGGCCTATTGAAATTCGGCGCATAAGTTAACTTCTGCCTTGGTAAAAACAATAGTTTCTTGCGGATCACTGACCATCCATATGGACCATATCGCAGCTGCTTGGAATATGGTAGGACAAGTGGCCCCAAGTTGGATGTGTTAGTTCTTAAAGCTTTGGTGGCCGCATGTACAAGAGCCCTTGAAACCTCTGCAAGTCCAGCTTCATCTGGTTGCTGGAAGACAGATTGGTATGCTTCGTCATTCGAACAAATGTGTGTTCGGACAAGATGCTGGAGCTTGTACTTGGCTGTTTTCTTGTCCTGCTTCCTATTGTATGTCAGTTAAATGTGACAATTATCTCAAATAAACTAGTTACAATTTTAATAGAAAATATGATTTTGCTCTCTGAAACTCAATTATCTTTACCTAAAACTCGACGTATATTGTTTATTTCAAATGTATGCAGTTTAATAGATGAGGATCTTCATGGTGAAGTTGCAAGTCATTTGATAAATAAATTGCAAATGACATGCTCATAACTTTCCATAAGAATTCACACTTTGGGGGCAAAGATGGGGAGTTCAGAGTGATAAAATGGGCGGGGTTATTTTAAGTGGGCTCAATCTCATGCAGGCTTAAAGGCCCAAAACTAGGAAACCAAAAACCAAGAAGCCCATCGTTTCAATTAAGTAAGAAGCCCGCCACTCAGTATTACGATTTGGTAGTATTTCTCTTCATATGTAAGTGAGAAGATTTAGGTTCGAATCTCGTAGATGACAAATTCGATACCAAATTAAGTTGCTCATTGTGTGGTTTAGCCGAACATTTCATTCTGTCTAGTGTAAAATATATCATTATACTTAAAAAAAAGAGTAAACTGTCAGTTTACCCCCTGAACTTTCACCTCATTTTCGATTTCCCCCCTGAACTTTTATATTGGAAAATTAAGGACTCAAACTAATTTTTTTAGCCAATTTGCCCCCTACCGTTAGTTTTTCATATATTCCATCCATATTTATGTTAAGTGAGACTTTGTGCACAACATGTGAGGGTAGTTAAGTCATTTCATTTTTAAAATGATTAAAAAATTGAAGATAAAAAAAAAACAAAACTTTCCCTCTATATTTTCCCGCTAATTCCTATCCTCGATTTTATGTTTTCCCTCTCATTCCTATGCATGAGAAATGACATATGAGATTATTGTCTACCATTTTTATTTTCTCTAACAAATTAATAATTTGACAAATGCTAATGGTACTATTGTCTCCAAAGCAGTGCATTAATATAAGAAACCCTAGTCTTTTTTATGGACATGTTTCTTATATTAATGTACTGCTTTGGAGACAATAACACCATGGGCATTTGCCAAATATTAATTTGTTAGAGAAAAATGGTAGTACATGCTTCAAGAAAAAGATTAACTTAGCTACTTATGAAGACAATAACACCATATGTCATTTCTCATGCATAGGACTAAGAGGGAAAAATAAAATTGAGGATAGGAATTAGCGGGAAAAAATAGAGGGAAAATTTTTATTATTATTTATTTTCAGTTTTTAATCATTTTTAAAAGTGAAATGACTTAACTATCCTCACATGTTGTGCACATGGTCTTACTTAACGGAAATATGGATGGAATATATGAAAAACTAACGGTAGGGCGCAAATTGGCTAAAAAAATTAGTTTGAATCCTTAATTTTCCAAAAGAAAATTCAGGGGGAAGTCGAAAGTGAGGTGAAAGTTCAAGGGTAAAGTTTACCCTAAAAAAAAAAAAAAAAAAAAAAAAAAAACGTAAGAAGCCTGGCACACAACTATTCCTCCTCCTTCTCTCTCTCGCTCTCTGTTCGCTGGGCTGCCGCGACCGGTCCACCACCACTCCAAAGCACGAGGCGACTCCATATCCGCCTCCACAATCTCACCTCCACCTACTTCCTCTCTCATTATCGACGCCGTATCCAAGCTTCATCGTAACAGAGCTTCGAGAAAAAGGTAAGTCGGACAACTAATTTTTTTTTTAAATTTTTTTATGAAATGATATAATGTTAGGGTTGTTGTGATTAGAAATTTTTGTATGTATTTAACAAAATTTCGACTCATTATTTGTTTCAATTGTTGGTATAAATTTCTGATTGAAATGATTTATGAATGCGTGGCAGATGGCACTGAGAGGAGTGTGGCAATTGCAAAATCCAAACTTATGGGATTTTCACATAGAAACCCTCGATACAATTACACTTTATAGAAATACACTTTGAAGTTCGAACCCAATATTTTAGAAAAGCACTCTTCTTATAAGAGCAAATCCAGCATCAAAGCCTTCTAGGATAACTTCCTAAATAGTCTTTAATAAACAGGAACTATCTTTAATGAACAGTAATTACTTTTTGCATCTCTACCTGTAACTGAATAGTCATGTCAATAGGTGATAAAATATTAGTATTTTTTATTTTATAAAATAATACAAAATAATTTTATTTGTAATTTCGGATAAGATTTTTAATCGTTTTCATTGTCTCATGTGTCATTATCCGAAAAGACAATTTTTCGTGATAGATTTCGATAAGATTTTTATCTAATACAGTCTTGCCACGTGTCGTTACATTTTCAGAATCGTTGAGGATAAATTTCTGATAAGATTTTTGATCAATCACGTCACGTCACGTGTGACAATATGTTTACAATATTTGAGAAAAGATTTTGATCAGATTTTTAACGAATGACGACATGCCACGTGACATTATCTACATCCTAATTTTGTCTTTCTCCTCCATATAACCCACCATCCATCCTAAGAAATCACACATCAAAATCAAAATCTCTATCATTAATCATAGTTTCTGCTTCCTTCTTACAATGTCTTCTTCGAGGATGTTGTGGGAAATCGACGAGCAAGAGAAATAATTGTTTAAATAAGGGGAAGAATTGTTTCAGTATGCAAACAGACTAAGAAACCAACTGGGGAGAAAAGTGGTGAAACTGAAGACTTAGACATGTAACCAAACATCCTAGCGTGCAAGGTACGTGGACAACAGATACGAAGTTTTGAGGCACAATGAAACAATTTGCATCGCAAGCAGTTTCTTCCGGTGTGTTTCTGAGCAGTTTAGTTTAATGTAACCAAAAATACAGCTCCTAGTTTGTGGGCTATAGTTCCGAATTGGCAGTCGAGTCGATTGTTTACTTTAGCAGTTTGTTTACTATGAATAGGGTATTCTGTTTCTCGTCAAATAACTTAAACCTCAGAAGATGCTCTATGAGATTATGATATCATCTTGCTTTACCCTAATGCCATTGTTTACCCTATCCGGCATTTGAGTCAACAAAATCGTTAATAGCTGACGTGACATGGGCATTATTGTGAAGTTCAAGTTTAAAGAGGTGTGGGTTGTATTCTTTTAAGTTTTTATCTTCGGTTAGTTTTGATCTTTTAATTGTGATTAATTTCTACTATAATGTCCATGGCACGTTAGTACATGCCCATTTTGTATACAGATTTGTCGGAATAAGGTAAAGTGGGACACAAACAAGAGCGTAGATGATAGTGAGACACAATGGAGTGTACGGGGTAATGTGGGACTAAATAACATTGTTGTAAAAATCTCCGCCTAGCACCGCTTAAGTCCGGTTTAGGCGCTAGGCGGCTGGCCGCCCTCCTATTAATGCCTAGGCGTTAGAAAATTAAGAAAAAATGTCTAGACCTGCTGAGACGCTTGCCTAGACCGCCTAGATTGCGACTCTCTTAAATAAAAAATAAATAACTTTCATTTTGCATTTTATTTTTTATAAAAAATTGTAAGAGATTTGTTGCATACTTAAATGAATACACATTATATCCTTATTCGTTATGTTTTCATTATGTTTCAATACTTCATAATATATATGTCATTCTATTTTGTAATTTATAATGAAATTATATAGATTTTAAGTATAAGTAGACACTTATTTACACGAAATATAATATATTTATTTAAATTCGCCAAGTCTAACTAGGCGTTAGGCCCTAACTCACTACATGACTAGCGTCTAACATCTTTTGGAACCTTGTTGAATAAGTCTAAAAAATGTCTTACGAGAAAAAACCCTGGTGAATTTCGAAGTACTATTCTCCCAAACATTTTATTTCCTCTCATTCAACATTCCAATATTTACTCTTGCACCAACAGTGGATTAATCTTGTAGGGCTGTCCCCGACTCCCTGTCCTTATTTTGGAGAGATTTCTCAGTATGATCGGTACACGGGATGATGTATTGCATGTCACTAAACAAATAGTGGGATATGTGTGTTAAAAAGTGAATAACTTAAAAAATAAAAGTTCTCATCATTTCTATTAAAACACGTAATGTATCATTTGTGTTCCTGTTACAATTAAAAATTTCTTCTTATTTTGAGGTTATGAATAAATTTTTTTTTTCTGAAATCTTATTGGGCTGTCCCCGACTCCCTGTCCTTATTTTGAGGTTATGAATACAATTTTTTTTCTTTTTTTTTCCAGGAAAAAAAAAATCTCCACGGATCTTACTCTGTGTTCTGTCTTACTTTACTCCTTGCTCTCTTCTTTTGTGGCCCAGTTTATCCAATTCTGAAACAGATTCTCTTCGGATTTTTTTCTCTTAATCCACCAAGTTCGGAGATTCAGGCATTGAAATTTGATTAAACGACTAAAATTATTATAACTTTTAAAATGGGCATCTGTTTGTAGTTGTTGGATCAAATTTCAATGATCCGGATCCCCGAACTTGATGGATTAGGAGGAAGGAATCTGGAGATGATCCCTTTCCTTCTGTCAACTGAGGTTAGATCTGTCTATACTTTCTTTGGGGCCCATTTTACCCTATTCCATCAATTGAGGTCATCTCCAACCAAAGGGTCCAGAGGCCCAGATGGTCGAAAATAACCCTAAAACCGTTTCAAGAGCCATTATTTTTGAATTTTTTTTTTTGGGCCAAAAGTTTAAAAAGAATATTTAATTAAGACCCAGAAAGGTGATTGGTTTTATGTGGGGATGTTTTTTATAAGCGTTTGCTTGCTCAATTCTCGGTAAATGTGCATTTATACATGTAACTATCTCAAACTAAGTTGTACTAGTAATTGGACACTTAAATTAAAAAATTAATTTAACATACAACTGTTAACCGTTGCAAGTAGACATGAAAGTGGCGCCAATTACTACGACGAAATAAGTGTTTTCACAATTTATTTTAAATATTTATTTATATTTCATTTAATTTAAGCTGTTGTAGTTTTTAAATTTAAATAATAAATTATGTTTGGCCCTATGGCCCTCGGTTGAATATGGTTTTTTTGTGACAACTAAAACAAGCCCTATGGCATTTTGGCCCTTGGTTGGAGATAATAAGAAATATGACCCTGCACTGTTCATTAAAATATTAATTTCTTACAGAGTCAGAA